TTGCCATTCTGACTGGATTGAGCTGGAATCTCCATGTAGTTTTAATGTGCATTTCTCTAATTGCTAGAGATGTCAATCATCTTTTCATGTTTGCTGATCATTGGTATTTCTTCTCCTGTGAAGTGTCTGTTCAGTTACCTTGCCCATTTGTTTGGTGTCAAATAGATGAGACTTTGCATATCCTGGAGATGAATGTGTCTATTTGAGGGGCAGATAGCAAAGATATTCTCCCATCCTGTTGGCTCTCTCTTTACATTCTTGTTTTTTAAAAATATTTATTTTTTAGTTGTACAAAACACCTTTATTTAGTTTACTTATTTTTATGCGGTGCTAAGGATCAAGCCCAGGGCTGTACATGTGCTAGACAAGTGCTCTACCACTGAGCCACAACCCTAGCCCAACATTCTTGATTGTTTCCTTTGCTTTGTTTGATAGCATCTTATTTACTGATTCTTGTTTTCCTTTTGCTCTTTAGGGATCTTGCTAATGGAGTCTCTTCCTACACCAACATGATACTAAGATGGGCCTATATTTTCTTCCAGTGGACACAGGATTTCTGGTCTAATACCTAGGTCCTTGGTCATTTTGAGTTGAGTTTTATGAAGGGTAAGGAGGCATAGAGGTTAAATTTTATTGTACTACACATGGATGGCCAGTATTCCCAGCACCATATTTTTTTTTGAAGAGTTGATCCTGGAGAATTCCTGAACAATGAAAAGAAATTGGCTTAAATTTCTTTTGCTTCTTTTGCTATCATAATAATGGATATTTTGTTATTTTTATTAACCTGAAACAGATGTGAAATACTGGGGCTGAGCTTTAAAATCTCAGGAGACATATTACTCCAACCACATGGTCAGCTTGAGAGTGGACCAAGAAGATGGTCTCACATTTTAGAGAGAGGATCCCCAGAGCCACTTGGAATCCATGGGAGGAGCCAGGAACCACCTATCCTAGAGTAAAATTGTTACAATATATGAGGTGGGTTTGAACTAACTTGAATATGGGTTTTAAAAAAGGAGAGAATGCTTGTGGTCTATGTGATTGGGAGCCTTCAGATTCCTCACACAGATGTGTCCAGGGAATTAATAGAAAAGTTTTGAGTTCGATTCTCCCCAGGTTGCTACTATCCACCAGAGACTAAAGTAAAAGTAAGAGTCAGGTGACATGTTCCACTGGGGAAACCACAGTTCTGAGTTCTCCAGTGGGATCTTGTCACCTTATTGCAGAAGCTAAAATTAAAGCCCTACAGAGAGGTGAGTTAAAGACGTCTTTTCCTTAAAACAGTGCAGGATCCACTCAGGTCCCCTGACTCTCTATGCAACCTGCCCAGGTAAGTGCCTTTCTCTTCCTCAGATGCAGCACCAGTGTGTGAATGGGCTTCTGTGATTGTGATGAAGAATCAAAATAACCAAATGATATATTAGGTTCTAACATAGCTCTAAATTATGCCTCCAGCTCTGGAGCAGGAACTAGGGGTGAAGTTGCTTAATATCACAACAAAAGGACAGTAGTGACCGCCCCTTCCTGGCTTTCAAAGGTCCAATGGTGTCCTCTCTCCAGGTCATCAAGGAGAAAGGGGATGATAGTCGAGAGATGATGGTGAACTTGATCTGCGTGATAGCAACAAATGACATATGCCCTTTCATGTATCATTTGCACATCAGGAAGTGAGGATGCAAATCATAGTATTTACATGATGGTGTCCATGGGGCACCTGAGAAAGCAGCTATGTCCCCCTCCCTCCCTCCAGCCAGTATCCCTCCACACCCAGGCCCTAGAAGCCCAAGTGCTGTGGGTCTGCTTTCCTCACTGCTGACTGGGATGCATCAACTTTGGGATTGTTCACTAGTCTCTGGCCCCTGGGTGATGACTTGTATCTGTGTTGTCCATGATTTGGACAGTGGCACAATGTGAGATATTTAAGTGATGGCTCCTTGGTCAGGGCAGGAAATGGTGTCTCCACTGGGTTTCAGTTCCCTGGAAAGGACTTCATACCCTCAGCTCTAAGGACCCTGGGGATAATTTTTTAAAAGCTTGATTTCCATTTCCATTTGTTCTCCACTAGTCTGCCCACTTAGACTTTCCTTGCCCTTTCCCACTGGCTCTCCCTCACTGGGACCTCTCCCTGAACTTCTTTTCCACATTATTCTCTTTGTATTTATATCATCGTATTCAGAACATCCAGTCTGAGGAGACCTTGTTTCCACCAGGGATTAAGTCATGACCTGGGGCTCGGCCCATCAGGGCAGCCAGGAGCTGCTGCAGCTCCTCTCTCCCCAGAGCTGAGAAGGGGTTCTGGGATCATCCTGGTGCTGGACAGGCTTCAGTCTTCTCCCTGATCTCGTGGTTGGACTAGTCATGGCAGGTGTGAGTGGGGTGAGGCACAGCCGGGAGAGGACAGGCTCAGAGGATTCCTTTTAACTTGCTTTTATGAAATGTCCACATTTTCAGGATGTATTCTAATAAAACTGATCAATTATCACAGAAGTAGCAACATTGCATTCTTTATAAGACATCTACCTGTGAACCATGGAGGGCCCTGTGACTATCACTGATACACACATGTGTGACCCGCACAGTGTGCAGATGGCCAGCTGCTTCTCGGCCTGTTGTGTCCTGGGGCTGCAGGGAACTAATGCCTGTTGGGGACCCATGACAGCATCTGACCCTGCCACTTCCCATGATCAGCACTGTGGGAAAACGATAAGGTTTTCCTGTGTTTGCACATCCATGGGCCCTCCTGGCTCCGTCCCTCCCTCCCATGACAATGCAGGCAGGATGGCCATCCCCCTTGCAGTGCTGAAACCAGAGTCCTGTGCCCTCCGTCCACAGATATATCAGGTAGCCTGCTTCTCCTGTTTTTCGATGCTCTCCATTTTATTTTCTAATCTGCATTAAACTGAATTGAAGACAAACCTGTATTTCATAACATGATAGAAAGGAATCATCATTATTTCATTTTCTGTAATTTTTTTAAAAGGCCTCTTCAAGAGTTACATATCCAATTTGTGTTGCTATAAAGGTATTTTGGGGTCAAAATGTGAGTGTAAATCTTACAACTCACTTCAAATGTGCACACAGGAATAGGCATCATCTATCCATAGCTACTTGTAGTGCTGTGCCTAATAATAACCATTTGTGGCTCTTCAAATGTGGAGACTCCTGGACCATTATATTACCACTTTTTCTTTTTGTTTTTCTTGAGCAGAACAAGGGAGGGAATGTTCTTTACATGAAGTGAATGTGTGAATTAAGGAAAAAAAAAACACTTCTTACTAAATGAATCATTTGGAGGAGATTACTTTTTTCTAATATCATAAATTAATTTCCACTATTTACAATGACACTTCCGCAAGATTTCAAGTCAATCATTTAACTAGGCTAAAATATTTAAATTGTGTGGACTCCTGGTTGTTGTTTTTTCTCACACTTCATAACTGATGTTATCAAACTATAATTTTCTAGGTAGCTGTGGGAATGACTGCTAGTCTTAACCACTTGTTTTTTTGAGGATAGAATGGGGGGATATGTTGCTCACCTCATTGTAAATGTTACATAATTCATAGCTATAAGGCAGAATTAAGATGGAAATAAAGAAAATACCTTCATTCTATATGGAGCTATACCATGAGATTGTAACCATCAAATTTTCTGTTACACTATTGTCTCTCTCTCCTCTGGAGAAATATCATTGCTTATGAAAAGAAGATATGAAATCTTGTTCTCTTATGTAAACTTCATTATCAGAGTGAGTTTGGATTTCTTTCTCCTAATTAAATCACTAAAAACTGTGACCCCTAAAGTACTTAAGATTTTCCTGGTGTGCTGTTGCATTGCGTACCTGTTACCCCAGCAGCTTGGGAAGCTGATGTAGGAGGTTTTCAGGTTCAAGGGTAGACTCATCAACTTAGTGAGGCCCTGTCTCATAATAAAAATAAGGGGCTAGGATTGTGGCTCAGTGGAAGAGCGCTCGCATAGCACGTGCAAGGTCCTGGGTTCGATCCTTAGCACCACATAAAATTAAAAAAAAATAAAGATATTGTGTCCAAATACAACTAAAAAATAAATATTAAAAAATAAAACAGGGATGTGGCTCAGTGGTTAAGCACCTTTGAGTTTAATTCCTGGTTAAAACACACACATGCGTGCGCACGCACACACACACACACACACACACACACTTAAATCATGATTACTTTTCAAAATTTTTGCATATGCCAAAGAGGGGACGGAAAAGAAATTTTGAAATTAAATCCTGCTAAAAATGGATGGTTCTGCCCACTTATTTATGGTTTTCTCTGGCATAATCAAATATATATAAAATAGTAAAAGTGGTTATATAAACCTGGGTTCAATATCTGGTACCAAAAATATATAGAGAAACAAATTCAAGAAGTTTGCCTTCAGAGCTAATATTTTTCATATTTTGTCGCTAAAATGGTGATGAGCAATCCAGAACAGAGAACACTGAAAATATAGAACTGAATGGGGCTTCATCCAGCATCCACACTCTTTTCTTGAGAGTTCTATGTGGACATTCCAGCCATCTGCCCCACATGAACTCACTTTGGATGCTACCTACTGAGCTATATATCAGGTTGCTGCACATGCCAAGACAAATTAATCCTGGCCTTACTCATGAAAAACAGTGGAGATAAACAGAAAAGATGTTATGCTTGTGTATTGAGAGTTTGGAAAGGGTGCATTATATAAGTGCCCACTTACTTTGAGGTGGGACGACTTGGTGGTTGGGGAGGTTGAAGCTGGTAACCACTGTGATGATGAGAATTTTATCTTTATTTGATCMTCAGACATGGACTCTATATGTCTTTTCACCAGAAAAAAAGAAAATGACCAAGAGCAGCACTGTTTCCATTTTTCTTTCTGTAAGAAATGTCTTTTATTCCCAAATTGTCCTTGGGATCACAGCCAAYATCTTCCTCCTCCTCTTCCACATCCTCACGTTCCTTCACCAGCGCAGGACCAGGCCCACAGACATGGCCATTGCTCACCTGGCCCTGATTCATCTGCTGATGCTCATAATCAGGGTGTTCCTGGATATAGACATTTTGGGGGTTCAGGATATTTGGAACGACATCACATGTAAAGCCATCATCTACCTGTATAGGCTGATGAGGAGCCTGTGGGTCTGCACCCCCTGCCTGCTGAGTGCCCTGCAGGCCACCACCCCCAGCTCCAGAGGATCTTTTCTGGCCAAGTTCCAGCTCACGTCCCCACAGCACAGTCTGTGGTACTTTCTCATTCTCTGGGTGTTCAACATGTTCATTAACATTCGTATTTTAGTCTCTATTGGAGGCCCCTCCAATGACACATCAGATGTTTGGTTTTCCACTAAATCCTGCAGGGTTTCCCCCACAGGTTACTATTACAGGATCTTATTTTCCCTGGTAGGAATACTCCGGGACATCTTTCTTCACAGGCTCATGGCCCTCTCCAGTGGGTATATGGTGGCTTTCCTTTGGAGGCATAAGAGGCAGTGCCAGCACCTTCACAGCACCAGCAGGATTGCACAAGCCTCCCCAGAGCAGAGGGCCACTAGGACCATCCTGCTCCTCATGGGTTCCTTTGTGGTCATGTACTTTGTGGACTGTATGATCTCCTCCTCTTACAGTAAAATGCAGAAGAAGGATCTGGTTCGCCTTGTGTTCCAGATGCTGGTGGGCAATGGCTACACCACCGTCAGTGCTATGATGCTCATTATACCAAAAAACGAATAATCCAGTTCTTCCAATACACACTGGGGAGGACGAGAACATGTTTAAGCAGGGCCAGATGACCCCTCACAGTTTCATCCCACGATATTTCCTCCTGGGTTTCCAAAAATTAGTTGATGTTGGAAAAAAAACCTAAATGAGGTTGAGGGAGATGAAATTTCTGTTGTTCTTTGTAAGATCTTTATCAAACCAGGTGAGGTGGTGCATACCTGAAATGCCAGCGGCTCAGGAGGCTGAGGCAGGAAAATCTCAAGTTGAAGGCTAGCCTCAACAACTGTGTGAGTCCCTGAGCATTTGAGTGAGACCCTGTGTCCAAATTAAAAAAAAAAAATACAAAGTTCTGGGGATGTGGCTCAGAGGTCACATGCACCTGGGTTCAATTCATAGTTGCAAAAAAAAGTGTTAAATGATATATGGGCTGTTTTGTTACTGAACTTGCCTAAAGCAGATACCTTCCCTTGTCCATAAGTAGACCATGACGGGGAACCCTTTGCTGGAAAAAAGCATTTTGGAAGAATAGTTTTGTWTAGTTAGGAACAGAAATATCTTGCCTAAGTACAACTCTCTTGAGGTGCATGGGGCAATATGTGTTTTGATGTATTTTTTTTATTAGAGCAACAAACATCAATAAAAATAATGAAATCCCCTTCGTGTTAACTCCAGGTTTTTTCCCAATATACCTATAACATTATTTCTCCATGTATTTTTTTCTGACTTCATTATTTAACTTTTTCAATGTTATTTTATTTTCGTCTGAATGCTAAACCAATAAGGAGTGGGGAGAAAAAAGCATAAGTAGGTGATCAGGAATCAGAGTGCAGGAGAGCGCTCAGATGTCTTGGAAACACACAGATATAATCCATGTTCCCATCTAAATTTTATTGGCCTTGCAGCCTTGAAGTAGTGGCCTAGTTCTTTCAGTCTCAGTGTAAAATAGAGACCGTATCTGTTTTAGGGTTATCATGTGGATGAGAACAAATAATAGCACTCATTTGGCATCATGTTGTCCTGAGATTTGAAGGATGCAAATAAGATTACTAGCATGGCCCCCGACCAAGGATGTCATGCAATTTATACATCATGTGACATTGAAAATGTAAGAGTAGCAGCTCACCTCTGTGTACACAGACACCATGTATTAAATCTTAATTTCCTTAGTGATTCTCTGAATGCAGTAGTATTATGATCCCCCACTTTACAGTGAAGAAATCAAAACCCAGATAAATTAAGTCAGTGGATTGCAGAGGAAATAGGTGAGAAAAGTCAGGATTTGAACTCTCAAGCCCAGGTTACAGGTCCTGAGCCTGTCTTTCTTGCTATACCTATGACATGCATAGGAAAGTGGCACACAGGGGTCACAGCCAATGATACAGACAACCTGAGACTAAAAGGCCAACCTGTTCTGCATCCTTCCAGCCCAGAAATACAGCTGGATGGCAGGTGGCTATGGCTTGACCTATKGTAATGTGGCCTGAACCAAAGAAGTCAGGCTGTTGATTGAACCCTAAGAGGCCAGTGTGAATGCTGTTCAGTGGCAGAATTTTAAACCCCTGGAAAGGACACAAGCCATCACCTTCCTTCTGGAACAGCATGTGGAGGATCCAAATGCACTTCTGGGCGTGTGGTGGTGGGTCTCCCAAGAACTCTGGTTGCAAAGGTAGGAGGCTGCTTGTTCTCCTGACTTCTGAAAAGTCTACTTGAACCAGAGGAAGAAGGTTAGGCATGGGGTGCATTTTTTTGCCTCCCTCACTCTAAGTTATTAATACTCTGTAGCAGAAAATATTCAAATATTGTCCTTTTTTGTTTCTGAGATGCAATCTCCCTCCATTGCAGCGACTGGTCTTGAACTTCCTGCGATCAAGAGATCCTCCTGCCTCAGCCTCTTGAGTCGCTGGAACTGCAGCTGCACAATGCGGTGCCCAGCTCAAATATTACAGAAGATCAACTTAGTGCTGAGGCTACAACTTTTCCTGTCCCTTCAAGCATTTCATGGTCAACTAAATCCATTCTCTGTAACATCATCAGGATATGGGAGAAACTGTTGTTCTCTGTTAGGAAAGAGAGTGGATATGTCTGTGTTTGGATCTTGTGTGACCTGTAGAGTCATTTACCAAAGGGACCAGATAAGATCATTAAGGAAAAACCACCACCGTGTCTTCCAGTTAGTGTTGGAAATCCTGGGGTTTCATCATAATTATTTTAGCTAACAGACAAATAGTCAAAAACACACACAGATCAAGTCTTCCCGGGCAGGAGGTCAGGAAGGTTTKTAGGTCTCAGATTGGCTCAGAATAGACTTGGGACTGATGGAACTTTTTGTGATATTTATCAGGCCTTTCCAGATCAAGATGCTTGCTTCATAACCTACCAGTTTCACTTGGATGTTGGAAGAACGGACATGATGTCCATCTGCAGTAACAATAAAAAATGATTGTCTTATCTTTTCAAAGTCCATGTATGGATTTGTTTTGGTTATACTCTTACTCCAGGTGTCTAAACCAAGTTGGCCAAAGTTCACCTTTTTCCTATCTATGCTAGATTCAGCTGAGATCTTCAGAGATTACTCCTGGGAACTGCTCACCCCAGGCCTGCAGCTGTGCCCAGGGGCCCCTCGCCCTCCTTTGACTGCACCTTCCAGTTCCCCTTCTCCTGCTGCTTCCCAGCCTTTGTTGAGCTGCACTTCCATGTGGGAAACCTTTTTAGCCTCCATACATGAGGGAGGACAGGCAGGGTGTTTTTTAAAAAGAAAATTCTATACACCATTAGAAAAAAAATTCATGTTTCCCAAAATGTGATGATCAGGCAAAATGACAATTTTATTMTTTCACTTACTCAACATTTTTCAGTCTTCTCCCATGACAAGCCTCAAATGACACTAGAAAGATTTTCCATGAGTGCACATCTGTTTGATGGGTCACAGAAGATTACAGGCACAAAACCCCATTGTTCTCTGGTATATTTATACATAAAAAAAATTTGCATCAGAGCTGCAGACATAGCTCAGTTGGTAGAGTGCTTGCTTCACATGCACAAGGCCATGGGTTCCATACCCAGCACCACACAAAAATATTACATTGATCTGCTCTCATACACCTGCTTTATTTAAGGTAAAATAGATACTGAGGAGGCTTTAAAGAATCAACTTATATAACACACATAGTATCATTTCTGTACAAAATTGTAAAATAAAAATGTAAATGATAGTTCTAAAAGTGTGTTMTTTTCTGCCACTTCTGTAAAATGAAGATTAGGGCCTGGAGGACATGCACTTCAAGTATTGTTGCTGGCCCTGGCCTTGAGGACTACATGTCTGTCATATTTATACACCTGAACATTTTTTGGTACTTTTCTATGTGTAAGTTATCATCAATTTTTTTGAAAGTAAGGAAATAAAAACTGTTTGCACATCAATCACAACTGGGAWTAGCAATGCATGTAGACAGTCTCTGTATTTTTATTGAGGAATTCACTCACACACCAGGTTATTATTGACACGTATAACAACTTACACTTGTAGTCCTAATGATTTTCTGGTTTAGTATCCTTTGTATATTTTTGTATTTGCTTTGTTCCTTTCTTTCTCTCTTATTGATTATCATTGAGGTTTGTTGGTTTTCTAGAGGGATTATATTTGATTTTTCCCTCTTTATTTTTGTAACAGTGCAATAATGAGTTAATAAACTTCATGTGCATTTAACTACGTTTGCTTACATGTATAATCATAGGGTGAGAGACTGAGAATAAGATTTGAGTTTTCAAAAACACATCTTCAAAACACTGAAAGGAATTGGCTCTAGTATTTTAAGCTCACCACATGACATTGTGGCATGTTAAGAATTTTATCAYTGGGCTGGGGTTTTGGCTCAGTGGACAGGCACTTGCCTGGCATGGGTGTGGTGCTGGGTTTGATCCACATAAAAAATAAATAAATAAAATAAAACATATACATATGTTCAAGTATACCTAAAAATTTTTTAAAAAAAGAAATTGATCACTTACTTTTTAATTTCAGAAAAGATATTTTCCACCTCTGGGTTAAGATAACAACATTCCCGAGACCCCATGTCCTTGGGTTGGTGGAATGTCATTCTGTTTTCTGTGTCTATCAATTTGGRAACTCCAACTTCAACCTCCTTTAAGTTCTTTTTATGTAATATTGGTTTTTTGTGACTGACTTGCTTCTCGGAGTAGAGTATCTTGAGGGCTCAGCTATGTGGCATCCTGTGCCAGAATTTTCTTTCATTTTAAGTGTYAATAGTCCAGTGTCTGAATAACATATATATTGTTTATATATTCTTATGTTTCTGGGTGTTGAGTTCTTTTTACATTTGATTATTTAAAACACGGTTTTATGAGAAATGCTGTGGAAATGACTGTATGATTCTCTGCATGTACTCTGTGTGTGTGTGTGAATGTGCGTGTGCACATGTGCACACATGCATGCTCTATGATATGGTGGTTTATGGTAGCAAATGTTTACGTCTCATTTGAAAAAATATAGATAACTGAGGCAATACAATTATTGAAAATCATTGGGACTATTGTACCTAAAAATAGTTTGGAATAGCCCAGGTCATGAAAAGTCACATCCTCCTCAGAGTCCCTGCTGGAGGACTCAATGAGAAACATAAAACCCTGGTAATATCTCACAGATAAAGATGGCTTGATTTTCTTTTATGTATTTGCCACTTACATATCCAAGTATACAGATCTAATAGAAGAAGAACTCTATATTATATTTAAAGAAAACAGCATATATACTGTGCCATGGTGCATCATCCCAAAGAAATCACATTTTCTCATTTTAACAGAATTTATCCAGCACTGGTTACTGAAATATTTACTGTCTTCTCCAACATATATCTCAAAATACTAAATATACGTTTTTCAGTACTAATGAACACAAAAGGGCTGAAGGAGGCATAGCTATGAGCCACAATGATCTGGATACAGTAAAATACTGGATCACCCTTCAGTGTGATTCTTGCATAGGAGACAATGCT